GTTGTCACTCGGCACTGATACATCTATCACCACTGCTATCTTCTGGTATCTATCTATCTATCTATCTATCTATCTATCTATCTATCTATCTATCTATCTATCATCTATCTATCTATCAGCATAGGTTGATTGGATACTTACTTGCCATGGATAGGTGGGAGGAAATTGGTCCTTAACTTCTGCACATTGGACAGGAGCACAAGACCTCTGACACCTTTGTTTCCTGCAAGGAGTTACAGTTTCAGGAGGACAGGTCCGCATCATCCATGTATAACCAAAGAGGATATGGTCCACTAGACCAAATCCCAACATTGATCCAAAAAGCTTTAATAAAGATAATTTGATCAACAAGTTGCATTACGTCTTAAAGTGATAAGTGGTAGGGAAACTAGGGCCAGAGAAAAATAGGATGTTTCACATAGGTAAATCAAGTTGGGCTCCTGCTTCTTCTGAATCCAATGGAGCGTACTTAAAACATCTACTGGGAAGAGGTTATCTCTGTTAGGATTGCCATCCTGGGACACAGATGCTGGACCAGATGTGCCTTTTGCCTGATCTAGGATAACATATGTAGTAGGGCACTAATTAACATCTTTGAGGTGCATTTTCCACCTGATTTCACTATTCCAGGATAACCATGGCACAAAATCCTTTCTCTCCCTCTTAAATTTCTCCCCATTGTAAGTCTACTTCAATGAAACAGCAATAGATAACCTATGAATTGTGGCAGAAGAATTTCCATTGCATTTTAAATCAAAGCGTAATTATCGTTAGCAGCATACTTATTTAATTTCTTTATATTCTTTTATGCATTGTCTGCAGCAGTTTAACAAGAGGTCTGTCAATGTTTGCAGTCGATTAAATTACAGGGCAGTGGTACAAAGTCTAATCTTTTCTATTTTCGTCAGCAATTTCTTTAAAGTTCAGCAGTGCTGTATTCTCCAACAGAAATGTGAGTGTAATCCTTGTTCATTATGGTGACTCCACTATTATAGATTGTGAACTTTAACCAAAAAAAAAAAAAG